GAATTTCATCCTGCACTTGCAAGATGCTAGATGGGACTTGAATTGTCAGTATTTCACAACAGCAGAGGAGGGGAAAAAAAGTCTCAACCACATGGGATCTTACATTTACCCTTACAAAAACCTGTTTTCCTGAGATTTCAATCCAATCCACCAAATTAACAACGTCAGATAAGCACATGAAATTTTTTGTCTGATCAAGGTCTCCATATTCCTGCCATCCACTAATTTTGTCATCAAATTGATTCAAATAAAGTAGTGATTTATTTGATCTATCGATTTTTTTGAGGTCGATCAAAATTATTTCTTGATTGCAAAGCAGGTATGCATGATAGCTGGTAAACACTTCAGAGTGCTGATTTACTGGTTCATTGCTGTCTGAAAACGTGGCACAGCAGCTTCTCTCACAAACTTTTGGAGAGCAACTATTATTTATGAACTACTATTTCACTCCTTTGTAAGCGAAAAAGACATAAGCAATTAGTTTAGCTGACTATGCTTAAATCTAAATCAAGCATAAGCATTGGAGCCAGTCCACTGTGGCCATACAGAAATCGTTTGGGGCAAATGAATTCACTTCTGACAAATATATCCCTTTTCTCTTTTATCCACAGATATACCAGAAAAACTTTCAGTTAGTCTATTAGATACTGTCAAACCCTCTTTCACCTGAGCTACTAACCCCCTTTCTACTGACAAAATTCACTGCTCCTCCCAGGTCGTTTCTTTCCTCATTCCATATAATAATAAGGCTTAGTATTACGGAAAGGGGGAAAAATAACCTCACATACTCTTTCCAAGTTGAAACAATAAAATTAAATTGTTACAGTGACTCTCATAAGTTCCCACTGTACCAGAGAAATGTACTCGTGTGAAGAAAACAACAAAATTAACCTTAGAGGGTAGTCTAGATCTAAATTCCCACATTCACACACAGATGCTTAAAATAAATAGGCTTTCTTAAGAAAAGATATTGCATCATTTTCCAATTGCAGTGCAATCAATCATTTGAAACATTTGGGTTTTTTATCAGATGCTTATCTGTCTCAAGTGACAAGAACATGCTGCTTATTACTTTCTCCAAGTAATATATCCCAGCAGTAGGGGAATGAGATAAACAGTGCAGAATTATACATTCCTATCCATGTACAAGTCTTACCACAGTTTCCTGACTTTCCTCAGTATATTGAAGAACATATTTTCTAAGTTCACTGATAAGTGTTTAACAGGAATGAATGAAGGTTACTATTTGGACAAATCTGTCACAATTATTTCTAGATGCTAATGCATTCTGCTAAATATTCCTATGGTAATGCCAGTGAAAACACTAATGAAATACCCAGAGCAGGCACCATTATCACTCATGTTTCACAGTGATGCTATGTGAGTACGCAAGAGAACAGACATTGCCCTCTTACAAATCTTCCTCTCCCATCCTTTATAGGATTCCTGTACTTATGCATCAGCTGATAAAATCAACTTTTAATCATCTGCATTGGCCTACACAGGCACAGAACAGTACATTTTGAGCCTGTGTATTTGGCAACACATCCTAAAATTTAGCAACAGCCAAGGCTTTTCCTCATAAACCGTAATATCACAAATGACCACATAGATCTTTGCAGCTTTTACTCCAATATCTCATCTCATGTTTAATGTACACATTAAAAAATTCAAAGAATATGTCTTGCCCACTTCCCTTAGAAAAGCAGCCAACAGTCAACAACCAAGATTACTTAAAAAATTCTTGCTGCTACCCTAGTATTTTCAGCCTTTAGTTTTGAGACTGTAAGTACCTCCATAATAGAGAATTTTATAATTTATGGGTAAGTACTCAGTAAATATAAATGAAGAATAGTAAGTATATAGAGATGCTGGGTTTTTTCCCCTCAAGCTAAATACTTCAGGCTGGACTGAGTGATTCTGTAATTAGCAAAAAGACACTTTATGCATAAATGATTTCACTTTTCAGCATGTATTTTACTAGTAGTAAGAATTTCCCGATATAACAGAACAACACAGACTTTTTCCTAAGGAAAGCCAGCGTATACACTATTTTTGAGTCATGTAAAGAGTAACAGAGCAGACAAGTGGTTCAAAGAGAAGACACTTATTCTGGTAGAGAACTGACCAGTCAGCACAGTAAGTTAAATCTGCTTACCATCTTAAGAATTCTCCAATTATGGGTGCATGTTTGGGCCTTGCCCACAGTGTTTACACAACCCCTCCAACTAACATCCTGAACCACAGCCAATATTCACTGGAAGCATAAACAACTGTGAAAAATATATAGGAAAACTTTGTCAAGTTTTTAGCCCACAGCTGACTATAGTGGGGGTTGATGGAACCTTTGCAGTAAAAATAGTGCCCCAAATCAGTTCTCCACAGAGAAAGTTTCCAATGATAAGGGACACATGTAAGCCACATTCTTTTAAAAACCTGCTCAAAAGCAGCTCATTGTTCATAAAGGGAATGGTGTTTACACAGGAAAAAGTCCACTTTCAACAAATCTGAAATCCAACAGATGTTTCCTTCTATCTAAGCAAAACAAGTTTGTGACCCTTTTCTTCCCAACCAGAAATTTTCAAAATTAATTCTGCAGGGAAAAAAAACCCAACTTCCATTCTTGAGAGAATGATCTTGGGGAAAAAAAAAAAAAGGTGTTCTTTAAAGAGAATGTTTTATGGTCTGGATTTGAAGAGATACAATATGATTATTATAATTTGGTTTATACTGGAAAGAGAAAGTAGGGCAGGCTGTTACTCACACTGCTCTATATTGTAATTCCTCTCCTCAAATCAATTTAAGCCCTCTTCTCCAGACCTCCCAGAACATCACTCCAAAACTCCCAGTTGCCCTTGGCTTCCATAAAGCTCTTAAGATCTCTCTTCCTCTGCTCACAACACTTTAATAACAGAAGCATCTGAGCAGAGCATAAAAGGCATATCTCTTAATTTTATTTTAATTAGTACTACCAGTACCCACTAACCACACAGGAAGTGTCAGTACTTTGTAGAAGTGTAAAAGGGAAAGAATTTCAGGCTTTGCCTAAGTTATGCTGCTGAGACCTGCACCACACCTGAAACAGCCCCACACCTGACTGTTTCACTTACCATCACGAGAAAGTTTCAGGACTTTCAGGTTCTACCTGCTGTCATTACACCATTACACAGCAAAGCTGGATCTGGTGACATTCTGTTGCACAACTGAATGCTGCAAAGACAGCATCTTCCAAGGAGTTGGTGCATTTTCTGAACCCAACAATACCTTGCTCCAGAAGATGAATTGAGCTGGACCACAGGTTTCTGAGAATTCTATCAATTTTTTTATACCTTTTATAAAATGCAGCTGCAGAGGCCAAAGAAGTTACATTAACATCTAGAAACACGCATCAAAGCCAAAGTTAAAACAGTCCTAAACATGAGTATGGCAAGCATAGTCAGTGCATGCCACTCACTCTCTGCGCCCAACTTCACCTCCACAAGTCCCTTCTTCACTAGATGTCACTCCAGCTACTTCTTGTCCTATCTATTTTGTGAGCATTATACAAAGTTCCCATCTCTACAATGTTTTATGTGCAGCACGCTCAGCACTGAGGTTCCTTACCCCAGCTGAAGGCCCTGCATGCCCTGTGATGAATATAACAAGACAGGACTGCAATCTGCCAGCAATATAATGCACCACTATTACAACCAACACGAATATTAGCAGTGTGAAGGAGACCCACTGAGATGCAATTCAAATCTGCCTATGAAACAATTATAGCAGAAGGCAGAGGTGGTTTTCTCCCTCCCCCAATAATCCTATTTGTCCTTTAAATAGATCTGAAGTATAATCTCAAACTGTCAGCATTTCTGAAAAGAAATACCAGCTCAGACCTAATTGGATTTGTCAGACAATCATAGCTAAACAGTTCTCTGAGCTCCAACAGCTGAACAACTAGGGAAAAATCTTCCACATTGTAATGTATGAAAATCTTCCACACTGTAATGTATGAAAGTTTATTTCAAGAGGAAAAATTTCCTCTGAAAGTAAGTGGTAAAAAGACCTAATTTGTTCCACAGAACCCTATTCCTTAGCAACATAATGGTGTGGCATAGCTAAGGTTGTGTGAGCTGCTCCATATAGGCAATTATCTACAGTTAGCTGCTCAAACACTGTCCCTTCAGTCTGCTCTGAATTCACCCCCATTGCTAAAAATTTGCTTGTGTAAACCTGCTTTTGTTTTAGACTTTTTGACCATGAGTAAGAAAAAGAGAGAAAAAATGCAGGGAATTCTGACATGAACATGTAACAGTACCATTTGAAAAGAAAACAAGTAATAATATATCACATGTAAACATAAAAACTAGCAGAACATGTGAAGAACAGAAATACTTTCTATTCCTCTGGACTTTCTTTTTGCATCACCTATATATATATACATATATATGTACACATGAAACTTGCTCTGTCATTGCTGTGTGTTAGGCTGTTCTGTTCAGGTTCTTGTGGGCTAGAATAGTATATTTTAAAGACAGTCTAGGGCATAATGGTCTAAAAACCACACTAATCTCATCCTCTGAACAGTGAGACAGAATACATTGCAATGAGGTACAGGTTGCAAGTTAAAGAAGCGTACAGGCCAAATCTTAAAACACTTCCAATGCCTTCAAACTGTGGTTTCATTAATGAAGATTTAGATTATTCCATATGTGTCCAGATCCACAAGAAAAGTTATTATACAGATTTTATGCTGAAAATTAAAGTGATATTCATTTCACTGACTTTAACAGTCATGCAGATTTTAACATTTATATTTGGAGGATAACAACTTGAGCATTGGGCAATGTCATTTTCTGTATTTGCAGACTTGGCAACCAGCACATATGCAGCTGAGGAATAAAAGTAAACTTTGCACTGAATTCCAACCCATGTTTTGATCTGGGTCAAGAGGAAATTGAGATAATGTATTTAGTCTATCACCATCAACATCAGTACTAGGAGCTAATACACTCCCCTACCTGTTGGCTTATCCACACCCAGGAATCCAGCCTGTCCCAGGGTTTTAAACACTTTATGTGCTGGGAACTGTCCTTCTTCTTCCCACTTGTCCACGAAAGGATTAATCTCCTTGTCGATAATCTAGATTTGAAAAATAAATTTTAGATGGTAATAACACAGACATTCCTACACAAGCAACTTTCAATAATTTTTCCTAAAAATTGTAATATAAGAAGAAAAGAGAAAGGTAAAGGAAAAATTTTGAAAGCCCAATAATTTTCTTACTTCCTGTTGGATATCCTTATTCTACACCCATCCACAACTATTACAACAGACTTAATGAAGCACATATTAATAATTCTTTTAGCTATTACAACTATTAAAACAGGAAGCCACCAGGGATGGTTTAAGCCTCTCCAAGTCCTATGAAAATGGTAGTTTCCCCTCACCATTTGTTACCTTTCTGGGTGCAGTTCCTAGAAAGTGTCAGGAAGGGAAATCTGGATTATCCTCAAAGGGATGTTGCCAAAAAAGGTTGATGAGTTGTTCACAGTGACCACACACAGTACCAAGACAGGCAAGTGGGAGAGACTTCATTTCCTCTTCCTTTACCTGAAACACTCCCAAGGAAGTCAGTGCTGTTCAGGGCAGTTATGTTCAGTCTGTATTTAGACTTCCCTCAGATCTGACAGAACATGTACTGGAAACACATAGTCTTCTTCCAGAATTTGTAATATTCCCATGTCTAGTCCCTGGGCAACTCTCGACTATGCTCCTGCTGCACACCGACCAAAAGTCAATGTCCTAAGCTGCCTGGCTACTGTCTTTGCTCTATTCAGGCTGCTGTCTTCCCACCCAGCTGTTGCGAGCAAAACACATCTGGGATAAAGCCCCTACATTCAGTAACACTTTCAGGTTTAAGAGCACAGGGGCTGGGTGTTTCACTCCACAAAATCCCACATTTCCATGGCCATGGGAAGGAAGCAAAATGCGCAGGTGCATTTTTGCCGCCTACCAGCCCAGTGTGAGGCAGATGCAGTTTTGACAGCTCTCAAAAGGGAGTCAGATGTATCCTGCCCACCTCTCCTACCTCCACCAGCCAAACCAGGAGTTGGCACAGGCCACTTCTACCCTGTGGTCAAGTGCACCACACACCTGGGTCAGCCAGGACAAGGGAGTCCAAATGGAAATATCCTTCCCCCAAACCAAACCCTATCAAAAACAAACATCAGTAGCCAATAGAAAGCTAATGTTTTTAACATGTGACCATGATTTTACTGCTCTGCTTTTTCATGAAGAGAGAATTTACATTTTTCAAGAACTTACTTCTCTTAATCTTCTCTCCACACTAAATAAACAAGTCCTGTGGTGCAAACTATTTCTTGAGCTGGAAATAGAATCCTCTCCCTCCCAGACTGCTGTGTTCTCGAGACCCTGAGGAACCTTCTTCCAAACTATCTATTTATTTCACATTCTTTGGAGAACTCCAGCCCATATATGGCTGCTTTCTGCTTTCCAGTTGGCCACAGAAATAAGTATACTTCATTACTCATAACAGAAAGATCACTTTTTCAATTCTCTCATCAAATTCTGAAGAATTAATATACTAAATGTTCAACTCATTCAGTAATTATCATCTCTCTTCCTCTCTTATATTGATTAACAAAGGCCTCATGATCAATAGTAACAAAATACCAGAACCCTATCTAGGAGAGCTCACATTTCACTTCTATATTGAGATATCCCAGATGCTCAGATCCTAAGATGCTGACCCTCAATGTTGAGTTACAGCTGGTGAAACACCTTTTTGACTGTAGTAACATCTGGCAATACTCATCAGGTAACATTCAGGGAAATGCCTGAAAGAGGCTATGAAATACATAAAGTTTTCCCAATGTTTTGATGGATCTTGGCAAAAATATAAAGTGAATGCACTAACAGAGTTTTATATTTGTTATGGCTGGTACTGGGCCAAGTATTTCACAGCCTACATAAAAAGCTACTTCTGAAATTAAACAAAGTCAAAAGAATGACTAAGCCATGATTTCTGCAGATTATAACCTGCTTGCTCCTGTACCTTTGAGTAAACTTCAAATCATTTACCAGAGCTGAATTATTACCAGGTGAAGTCTGCCATGCTGAGTAAAAGATCTGCTTTGCATGACACAACAAAAAACCCCAGAGATAACCTCAGTGCACAAACCACAAATGGTGTATGCCCTTAAGCTCAAGAAAAAATTAATATCGCAGTCCACATGCTGATAGCCACAGTGTTTTCTTAGCCACTGGACCCTACTGGACTGTATTTTTACAAAGAATTAAATAGTTCCTGTCAAAAGCTTTTACACTTCAGTCACAAATTGCTTGCGAAAATCATACATGTTATTTTATAATCATAAAGGGATTGGGGAACACCTTCCCTTGTACTTCCACATATGAACACAAGCCACATTGCTGGAAAACTGCAGTACTGCTCAGCTGGCTGATTCTTCAGCACTGATTATTGGATACTATCATCCCTTCCTAGAAAAGAGAAACGGAAACAGGGAGAGGTATTTTCAAAGGGTCAAGTCAGCAATGAGTGAAGGAACACAAGTAATTACAAAACATGTGCTTGAAACATTGCTGAAGATGGGTAAAACAGTGCTGTACTCCTAACCATTAGATTTGTCCCTTCCCTTGGCTTCAAGAACTTCCTCACATCTGTGCCCTCAGAGAAATATTTCACACTTGAACTGCAGAGACGTATTACGTAGGCACCTTAACTTAAACCGTAATGTACACATGCAGTGTTTGGGAAATACACAGAAGTGAGCTTTTGGCAGCATGCAGCAACTCTTCTGATGATTTATATGTGCTTGATTATCTCATGGAAATTATGGGCGTCAGCATTTAGACTTGCATCACTCAGATACCAACTATAACAAGATCTAAAAATCCTATCAGTAGAAATATTCAGCACTGCATAGTACTGATGCTATCTGACAGATATTCCCAGCCACAAAGGAAATCCTTCCACCAGATCTAGCTGGTCAAATCTCAATTGGCATTAGGGATGTAAAGTTGATTTAGGAGCCATATAACTTTCCCACCTGCTGATAAAGTTCCATTAAACCACAACAGAAACTCTGTTATTTTCCTGACAGTGAGGGCACAGTAAGTCTCATGTATGTGACGGGTGTTTTTCTCAGGTTGCTTCATCTGAACATTGAAGATGCAAACCTAAAGGACTAGGCTCTGGAGGCAGCCTTGGTTTAGCCTGCATCCCAGAGGGAATTCAGGCTCCTCTCTGGGGAGCCTCAGGGCTGGTATCAGCTGTGAATTATCTCGAAAAACACTGGTGGATATTTGCCCAGTAGGAAATCGATAGAGCCAACAAACTCACTTCCTGTTGAATGATGGTAAGAAAAATAAAAGTGTTTTCATTAAAAATAGTTTTGACAAAGTTTTGTGAAAACAGCACCTGTAGCTTCCTGCCCAGGAATGGGGAAATGCAGTGACAGGGTTATACAGGGGACAGAGACAGAAATTCAGATTTTTCAAATGCAGATTATTCTAATTTATCTTTAAAACAAAGCAATGAAAATATCCCTCCAAATCATTGCCAGAGAGTTGCACGTTTTGACTATTTTCCATTGGAATTTATTTACTATTTAAATGAGAAAACTAACAAATATTTACAGTTGGGTGTTTTCCTTCATATAATGCTCAGTATTCTGTGCTGATATTGTACCTACAGGTACCCAGAAACATTAGCAATTGCCATTTAATTCTCACTGCATTCTAAAAGAAATGCATTCTATGACAGTAGAAACTGTAATTGAATTAATTTGGTTGCTGAGAGCATGTACAGATGTCCTTTACAGAAATTAAATTTCTTTTCATTATTCACCAGCAAGTTTACCTTCCATCATGCAATTCAAACCAGAAATTAAAGGCCCCTTCTACACACAATACCTCTTGTATCTACACATTATAATACTGTACAATGGTAGTATATTTCAGCACACTATTAGCAAAATTATGAATCTTGAAAACAAGACACTGAATTCGTAAAAAAATTACATAAATTTTTACTAAAGCTGAGTTATAGCTCAGTTGAGATTAGACTGACTTACTAGAAAAGCAAGACAAAATGTCCAAGGAAATGCTATTTTATACTAAGTTTAAGTGGATTCTGAGGGAGCAGAATTAGATTAGGTGTTAGGAAGAAGTTCTTTACTCAGAGGATGGTGAAGCACTGGAACAAGTTGCCTAGAAATGTTGTGGATCCTCCATCCCTGCAAGTGTTCAAGGCCAGGTTGGATGGGGGCCTGAGCAACCTGATCTAGTGACTAGCATCACTGCCCATGGCAGGGGGTTGGAAACAGATGATCTTTAAGGTCCCTTCCAACCCAACCATTCTATGATTCTATGACATAACTGTACATATCAAGTTACAGTAATCAAACTTAGCTCTATTAATATAATAACCAAAGATGACACAATTAATAGGATCTTCAATGTAAAAAGCAAATAAATAAGCAACAAACTTCTGTGCTTCCAGTCCCCGTGACACATGCTAGCAGAAGTCAGGAGCTGCCTGAGTGCCTCAGTCACCCCACATGGTGGTGGCAAGCCTGGACCTGACATGGGCAATGTCCCAGCAGGAGAACCGATAGTTCAGTCTCTGATGCCAGAGAGTGCAAAAACAGAGGCAGTATGTGACTTAAAAAACCACAAGTTAAAAAAACCCCACATTAAACAAATATGATTTAACCACACAGCAGCCAGAAAATGTTCCCTGCAGCACTAACCTTGCCTGCTCATACAAAGTTATTTCATGCACTTTTTTCTGCTAACCAAAATCCAGTATTACGAGCTTGTCTGAATTCTGCAGTGATCTAGAGAGCAAAGTTGCAGCCTACTGCTTCCTCTTTCAGGATGCATCACCACCACTGGGCAAAGGTCTCCAGGAAGTTTTGCAGGAGTGTTTTCTGGTGATTGTTTTCTTTGAGGCTTTTTGTTTGGTTTTTTGTGTGGTTTTTGTTTGGTTTTGTTTGTTTGTTTGTTTTGTGGGGTTTTTGTTTGGGTTTTTTTGTTTGGTTTTTTCGTTTGGTTGGGGTTTTTGTTTGTTTTGTTTTGTTTTTTTTTTTTTTGGG